GAAATTGTCATTCAAAGTGCAACAGCACTGAAAGCTGAAAATTGGCCTGGGCAGGAAGGGTGTATAAGTGCCCGGTATTGAAATGGTTAAGCAATAAAAAATGACTGCCCCTTTAAAAACGGTACTTTTTGAAATGTTCTTTTTCACCGATTCATGTCCCTCAGCGCAGTACCCGAATCCCCATACCCCTTTTATGGCCAATAACTTGCATATAAGCCTTCAAAATGGGCACTTTTCGAGTCCCATAGACTTGCATTATGTTCGATGTCCATGGTAGAACTTTCTTTAGGTTCAAATGTTCGACCGTGAACCGAACAGGGGGGCGTTCAGACCATCACTAATTAGGACACAGGTAGCCCCAACAGAGAACCACAATAAGGTCCCTTTCACATTAGGAACTGCTTGTGAATCGCACAAGAACACTGTGCAGTTCCTGTGTGATTCACATGCAGTTCTGTGCATTGCGTTTTCACCACACTGCACCAAAAGTAATGCATGCACTACTTTTTGAAATGCATAGCGACCGGATCACATGGTACTTTTGTACCATGAGATGCGGTGTGGGCAAATGCACCGTGTTAGCATCTTGTATTTGCATCCTGCTTTTGGGGTGTTGTTACCTTTGCGAAGATACCCACAGCAGATCGCAAGGGTATCAAATGTGTGAAAAACTCTAAAACTGTGAAGCAGTCCTATATAGCCTGGGATGGTGTAGCAGAGAACTCTCTCAGTTCCCGTTCACATGTGCGTTTCCTGTACTGCCCTTGCGATCTGCAGCGGGTGTCAGTGCAAAGTTCAGGATACCCCAAACACAGGTCTCAATTGCAGGGCATTTGTCTGCCCCGGATTGCATGAAAAGTACCATGCAATGCAGCTGCAGTGCATTTCCAAAAGTAGTGCATTATCTATTTTCCGTGTGGTGCAGTGTGATTTCAGCCAATTTGAATGGGCTGAAAATGCACTGCACCCAGATCACATGTGATTCTCACAGGAACGCACAGTGCGTTCCTGTGTGATTCATAGTGTGAATGAGCCCTTAGGCAGTGAAAAATAAATAAGGCACACAGTGTAAAAAAAAGAGCCTCTAAATGTAGCATAAAACAAAGAATTTATACTAAAAGCAATAACTAATTGCACTCACAAAAGGAGAAGTGATCAGCCATTAAGGCTAGGTTCACACCTATGCAGGTTGCGTTTCAGCTGTTTCTGCATTGCGTTTTGCGTTGCATTTTGCATTTTTGCACTCGCATTTTTGATACATTTTTTATGTGTTTTGTTTTTCATTTTTTAAACATTTTTTTCTTGTTGCTAGGCAGTTTTAAAATGTGAAACGCATCAAAAAGTGGCAAAAACACATAAAAAATGCAGCAAAAATGCAATACATGCTTTTCTGCAGCATTTCCATTGAAGCCTACAGAACCAAAAACACAACTTTTTGTGTTACAAAAAGTCCCTGACCCTTTCCAAAAAGCGCACCGGGTGAAAACACACAGGTGTGAACATGTCTCATAGGAAATCATGTAAAATGGACTGCACTGCATTTCTGAAAAGCGCAAAACGGTGAAGAAAACGCTTAGGTGTAAACCTAGGGTAAACAAAATTGTGAGGAAGATGAAACACTACACCGAGATCACAACCTGAATCGGGAGGAGAGCCAGCCGGATCACACAGACAGACGATCTCCCGCTGTGGCACAGCTCAGGGTTGAGATGCCGGCCGCTGTCAAAGGTCCTGCCTCCTGGACCAGCTCCCATGATAGACGTCACACTGGTTCAATTTCCTGGCATTGGACCAGTCTGGCTCTGATCCTGGTGCAGTGTTTCATCTTCCCCACAGTTTTGTTTAATGGCTGATTGCTTCTGGTGGAAGGGTTACGGCCTCTTTACAAGCCATCAGAGTGGCCGGGGGGGGGGGCAATTGCCTCTCTGCCCCCTGGCCCATTCTGCCCCTGATAGAAAAGGACATTAGCCATGAGCTGCAGAGAGATTCTGGGAAGGAGGAGACGGTGGCTGTGAAACATTTGAAATATATACTTTTATTCAAAAGTAATATTTTTTTAAAAATGAAGTGTGCTTTTCCAATTTTATTTCTTTAATTAATTAGGGATTTAATTAAAAATCATTTTTGCAAGACAATATCGTGGAAAGAAAGCCTTGTTTGTTCCTAAAATTGTTATGTTAAGTAATGATGTCGTTTTTTTGCCAAAGTAAAAAGATCGATAGCCACCATATGTTTTGGGAATGTACAAAGCTTTTCTTCTATTGGGTCGGGGTGCTAGATACTATTGTTAGTAAACTGTCTATTCCCATGGATCCGCTGATAATGTTGTTGGGTCTCCTGGACCTTGTAGATACGTCTAAGCATAATCGATTGTTCTTCTGCTATGCTCTCTATCATGCTAGAAGAGAAATTTTGTTGAAATGGAAACAGTCAGCCCCGCCAACAGTCTCGGGCTGGAAATCGGCAATCAACGGAGCGCTTCCATTGTATATTCCATATACTTTTATGAGTCGTAACTCTCCGGCTAAATTTGATAGAATATGAACTGGGTGGGTGGAGTCTCAGGGCCTTACGGCCTAAAACTTGGGTTTTTGTCTTGTGGGTATGTCTAGTGTGTATTGTTTATCTGATTAGCTAATGTGTTTATGTTTATGGTTTGTTTTTCCTCTTTGCCCCCTCCCTTTGGTTCCCTCCTCTTCCCCCTTTTCTCTCTCCAGCCCCTTCCCCTATTTTTATTTTATCCACTCTTTTCTTTTTAAAAAACAAAAACAAATAACCTGTGCTTAGGTAAATAAACTAATCTTAAAAAATAACATAGAAAAGCAGCTTGCATATTAGGAAATAAACATAGTATTAAAAAAATACAATCAAAAAACATATAGTCCAATAAAACATAAAAAATTCCAATAAAAAAAGTCCCAAAAAATATTACCACGGTCCACCATCACCAGGACATCCAAATGGTTCAGCCTCTTACCAGAAATTCAGACTGAAACATACCGGTCAATAAAGGCAACTCAAATGGAAGACGAACATGTAAATCATGGAACCAGCAATCCTCATCCAGGTGGATATCAATCTTCCCCTTTAAAGATCTGAAGTTGGTCCTAAAAGAATACTCTCATCCAATATTTAGATACAGGTTAAAAGAAAAAGGCCACTCATAGTGTAGTATTTCAGTAATAAAATCACCCTGTTTTATTTCAAGTTACTTGTACATTGTTTTGGATGGTTACCAGCATTTGAATTAAGTTTCCAACCAAGAAAATGGCCACCGTCCCTCCAAAAAACATGATGACATTGCACGCCGAAGCTCCAGCCTACGCGTTTCGTTATCCAGTTTATGTCATCAGGGGACTCTTTTCTTTTTGGCTCCAGCTCATGCCCTTAGATCTTTTCCCTAAATCTTATTTGGTGGGTGATGGTTATCTACAGCGTAATATGTATCTTTCTCCTGATCTGACTCAGGATGACCGGTTGACTCTGTATGATCTTTAGCATTGGAATCTCATGTGTAATGTGCATCTATTGACTGCCATAAGCTTGCTTGTTCTTATGTACCTTGATTTGTTATACTTTTGTACGATTTCAATAAACTCAACTGTTAAAAAAAAAAAAAAAAAAGAAAGATCGATAGCAGAAATGTAAAAACTGCAATTGTCCATAGGGGTGTACAATGTTCAGAGAGCTGAAGTGGTTAAGGTGTATCCAGCATAGTCAATAGGCTGTCCAGCTGTAATCAGTCAAACTGTATGACTGTCTATTAGTTTTGTGGGCAGCTTTCATCAATCCTAGGTACACTGTGTTTACATGCCAAATTACACCGTTTCATCTCTCACGTTTGTCATCTTAAAATGACAGATGAGAAGCTTTCTCTTTAATTATACAGTCTGTCACATCCTTTACATATTGTGTAATTAAACTACGAAGGTTGTTTTTAATTCACAGTCAGAGATGTGCTCTAACCCTGTAATTACCAGGTTCCTCTTCATCAATCTTGTGTCTCTCTCCATGCACTGAGACTATAAAAGTAGCTCCAGCTCTAGTGCACAGAGCCATTTGTGATTCCTAAAATGTGATGACTAGGCCCCAATCCTGTAAGCATGTAATTTAGAAATTCTGCTTTAGTATGAATAATACGGCACTTCCGCATGTCAGAACTTTATAAACTTTAGGAATATTGCCACATTTCTTTATAAACCAACAAAGTTGTTTCAATTCTACCTAAAATTTGCCAAAACCCCACCTCCTTACTTTCTGAGATATGAAAGAGGGAATATGTATTTGGCAAAATAAATGTCTTATAGCCCTAGCCATACAGACCGTAAAACATCATTGAGTAAAATGAATATGTTTAGGCATTTATAGATGCCTACAACAGTCAATATCCATTTAGCTATTCTGCATCCAGAGTAACTTTTCCATTTTTATATACATGTTAAAATCTGCATGTTTCGCTAAAAAAATTACCCAACCTTTCCCAATCAGTTATATACAGGATTTTCTGAAAGCAAAGGCCCTGTACAATAAAATGGTGACGGCTGGAACTTTTTATGCACACAACACTGTCTATCAATCTACAGTTTCAGGAAAAAAGTACAGTAAAATTAATTTTAGTGCAAAAAACACAATATAATATCCATTTTTTTAATAAAATATACAAGATGGGGTTGTATCCAGTAAATAGATACCAAGCATGTCAAGCCTTAAAGTGATACTAAACCCACAACAGTAAAATCAGTTTGTATATGCAGTAAAGCATGCTTGTTATATTCACTGTGGAACCTAAGGGGTTAATTCTCTACATTGTGTAAAAAGGATGTTTTATCCTTACCTCTCTGATCCTCCCCTTGTTCCAGTGCCCCCTCTTATCTCCTGATAAGACATACTGCGTGGAGTCACTCGGGGCATACTCAGTTTGGTGTGTTGTGCTAGAGAGTTTTTTTTTTCTTGGATAGTGCATGTGATTGGCACATGGCCAATTAGCACTGTCCAGACAGAGGCCAGGGGTTCTGCATCCTCCTAGAGCAGAATGAAAACTCCTCCTACACACTTTAACCAGTGCTCTGCTGAACACTGATAGAAGTAACAAGACTGCTCTGCCTGCTGATAAGAAAAGGTATTTAGCTTTTTATATTTAGTAAAATAATTGCATTTCCATGTTCTGTGTACTGTGGGAGACCAGATAAAGTGAATGCAGGGTCCGGGGAGACCAGATATAGTGAATGCAGGGTCCTGGGTTTAGTAACACTTTAAAATTGCGCTCCCCTGTGAAATGGTGAAATACTACGGTACCCAAAAGGTGACACTTTAAAAGCCTTTACAGGTTATCAGTGTAAAGTTAGCCATGAATGATGTCCTTAGAATTTTTGATCTCACGATGACTTTAGAGGAGATGCCTCACATGTGTGACAATATTACTGTTTACATTGATGTGTGGGTCCTACGAGTGCATTTGTATTAAAATATGTGCGCAGGGCTTTTACATCTTTTTAGTCTAAATTATTTAAATTTTAGTTTTTTTTTTATTTTATTATAATTTACAATTTTAAACACTTTTTACATTATTTTCATTTAACCTTATTGAATATGGCAGGTGACGGGTTCACTTTATGGAGACTATAGGGGTCTATTAGACCCCTAATGTCTTCCCTGCCTTCCACTCCAGTTGATTAAGCACAGAACTAACTTTGTGTATACTCTACAGCCTCCTGGTTCCATTTCGCTCAATAGCTGGGTACCAGCTAAAAGAAAATGGTACCAAGCTCATGGGTGCTGCTGTTTTAACCAGTTTATTTCCAGGCCATTTATAAACGACCTGTGGATGAAAAGTGATTTTAAAAGGTTACTGCAAAATTACAAAACGTGGGTATACCAATGGTTCATTTAGGACTATTTTGGTTTATAGTAGCATCTAAAAATAAGAAAAACAATCATTTAGCAGTCCAGGATGCCCAGGCACGTTTTCTGAACAAGCAAACATAGCACTTTAGAACAAACCTTTGTTCACCTCTGTAACTATAGTCATTGTGGAGAAATTGTTCTTCATAAATAACAGTACAATCATGAAATCATAGCTCCCCTCCCCCCCATTTTAAAAACTTTTCTTCCTTTCAATATTTTGATGTAAATAAACAGCAGGTAGTGTAGGAAACTGACTAAAACCTGACTTTGAGGGTTTCATTTGTGATCTTTACAGTACATGCAGCTAGAAAGGTCAGTGATTACTTGCTATATAGCTGTTTAACTGCCTATTAAGAATATGAAAATACTCCTGTCTGTGGCCTGGGCGCAGCACAGATGCACTTTTGGTGATCTGCTAAAGCGTATACCCATTCCCAATGTACCAATGTATGCATTATGGCCCTTGTTTGCATTGTGCAATGAACACAATGCTAAGGCTATTTTTGTACTTTAGAAACAGATAGGGTAATCTAAATTATGTATGTGTTCATATTCTGTCATTAAAAAAAAATGTGACAAGTAACATGGTAGCTTTCTAAAGTATAAAATGTGCATGTGCTAAGCAAAGGAGGAGAAACATGCTCTCTGGAAAAATAAATAGACAAAGAAGCAGAGCTCTGAATTCTAGTCTGCCTGAACGTGGCTGTCAGGGAAATGTTTACAGTGGCTAGACCAGTGACTTGAGCCAACTCCAAACGTGAATCACTGATTTCCTGATAACATTTCCTTCATAACTGTGACAAAAATAAGGTCTGATGAACCCCAAACTGAGTGGGAAGAATAATTTTTATGGACAACATACTGATAGGAATGGCACCAGATGATTGGTGAAGGGCCAATGTGGTTCCAGTATTTAAAAAAGGGCAGAGATATATTCCTGGAAACTACAGGCCAGTCAGTCTAACATCGATAGTATGTAAACTGTTGGAGGGGATATCCAACTTTGTATAGAAGAGAGGGGATTTTTAAGATGCTCAACAGACTTCAAATACTTATATTATACTAAATATAATAGTATAATACTAATATTGTACTAAAATCATACAAAGTTTTATTCCATATTGTCATGTAAAAAAAAATGACATCACATTAATAGTCTTAAGAAGTATAAAACCAACATGATACTTCATGTGGCTTGAAGTTGACCATGCAGCAATTCCAAATCAACATGTTTTGCCAAATTTCTGGCTTCTTCGGGAGATTTACAGATAGTTGCATGTAATTGCCACTAAAATACAAACAATAAACAATTTTCTTTACAAGGTTACAAAAAAAATAACAGAGTCATCAATACATGTGCATACAGAATTAAGGACACCACCTACTAAATACAGGTTTTTATAGGGTTAACCTGCCAAGGCTGTTCTTACCAGGTGTATCTTGATATATGGAAAACCAAGCAAACAAGCATCCACTTCTATATCCCCAGAGGAGTCCAAGATGAACCAAAAGAGGGAAAAGGTTGCAACCCACCAATATGTACCTCCCTACTAACAAACATATCAACATCTCAATACAGCATAATAAAAAATAAAGGGAAAGGTATATATCTATATATCAAAATAGGCAAAATGTCCTACACCTACCCCAAAGAACTGAAGAGTCCAAAAAACACTTGTTGGCGAACTTATTCACCTCAAACAATCCAAAGTTTGATATTGGTAGATGAATGCCTCAAAGGATACAAGAGAGACCCCACCAACCAGTCATAAAGACACCATCAACTTAACAAAGAAAGGGGAAGAAAAAAGAGATAAGTTATCCACTCAAGAAAATAAGTTTAATGAACACCACAACGAAACAAAAATGTCCATCCTTACACTTCCATACCATGTACTTGTGAGGTCACAGGAGAGCTGAGTGTAGCAGCCATGCAGCCAGCCAAGGCTGGCTTATATATCCCCCCACCCTGCCAGTGATTACCGGCCAGGTGCAGACGCCCAAAATGGGCCCGCACATTCTCACAAGCTTGCTGGAAGTGAAGTCATGCGCAGGAACACCTCAGCACCATCTTGGAACATCCATTACTGCTCTAACAGCACATAGTCCAAACAGGGTTTGCCAGAGCGAACCAAGAGGCTAAAAAATTGGAACCTTGTGGCAGATAGGACCCAATAGAGTGCGCTACCCCGCAAAGGGACACAGAGGCACCCCCCTCCCGAACGGCACATAATGGTTGGTTGGTTTTATACTTAAGAGTACTAATGTGATGTAGTTTTTTTACATGACAATATGGAATAAAGATTTGTATGATTTTAGGACAATATTAAGTTTTTGAAGTCTGTTGAGCACCTTAAAAGTCCCCTCTTTTCTATACAATGTTGGATATTCATAACATGGGATGTGATGCTAGCTGATCTCCAGCCCACCTGAAACAAATACAGAATTTATTGGAGGGGATGATAAGGGACCATATCCACAAATTTGGTGAGGAAAATAGTATCATTAGTAGTAATCAGCAAGGCTTTATGAGGGTTTGTTCTCACTAAACCATCTATTAACATTCTACAAGGAACTGAGTTGCCATCTAGATAAAGAAAGGCCAGTGTATGTGGTATATCTGGATTTTGCAAAAGTATTCAATACAGTCCTCCATAAACGTTTAATTTACAAACTGAGGTCTGTAGGCATGGACCATAGGGTTTAAACATGGATTGAAACCTGGTTACAGGGGCGCGTCCAAATGGTAGTAACAAATGGAATATACTCAGACTGGTCTGGAGTGTTAAGTGGGGTATCCCAAGGTCCTGTACTGGGACCGATTCTGTTTAATTTGCTCATAAAAGATATAGAGGCTGGCATAACTAGCTCAATCTTAGTATTTGCAGATGATACAAAGCTATACAAAGATGATACAGAAATTCTGCAAGAAGTCCTCAATAAAATTAAGGGGTGGGCAGATACACAACAAATGAGGTTTAATGTTAAAAAATGTAAAGTAATGCACCTGAGGGCTAAAAATATGAATGTAAGTTACTTGCTAGGGGGAGAACTTCAGGAGAGTCCAGGACAGAAAAAGATCTGGGGGTCCTAGTAGATGACAGACTCAGCAATGGCATGCAATGCCAAGCTGCAGCAAGCAAAGCTAGCAGAAAATTAGCATGCATTAAAAAGAAAATTTACTCAAGAGATAAAACTATAATCCTGCCACTTATAAAACGATGGTTTGGCCCCATCTGGAGTATGCCATCCAGTCCTGATCACCAATCCTCAGGAAGGATGTGCTGGAACTAGAGAGAGTTCAGAGAATCGCAACAAAGTTAATAAAGGGACAGGAGGATCTCAGGTACGAGGAATAACTATAAACATTAAACTTAATCTCTATTGAGAAGGGAAAGGGATGCTTGAGAGGGGATATGATAGCGATATACAAATATCTTAATGTTGATTCTGGTATAAAGAATAAACTATTCAGTCTCGGGGAGGGTAAGAGTATATGGGGCCACTCATTGAAATTGGAGGAGAAGCGGTTTATCTCTAAACTGCGTAGCTGGTTTTCTACTGTCAGAATGGTAAGGATGTGGAACTTGCTTCCAAAATCAGTGGAGTCAGCAGGAAGTGTTGATAGTTTAAAAAAAGCTCTTAGATGGGGATCTGGTCATCTTGGAGAACACAGCTTTCAGGGATATGAGTTTTAACATGAATACAAATACACCCACATGTGTTGAACTGGATGGGCTGGAGTCTTTATTCAATCTTAAAAGAACAAATTCCCTCACCACAACCCCCCCTTCCAGCACAAATCCGGCTGCAAATCACCCCTCCTAGAACATCTAGCACCCCTCCTAGCACATCTGCTAGCACTGTTCAACATGTGGGCCTTCTCCTAGCTCCTCTTCAACATGCGGGCTAACTCCCGCCTCCTCTTCAGCTTGTGGCCTGTTTACCGGCTCCTCCTCAGCTTGCGGGCTGTCTCCTGGCTCCTCCTCAGCTTGCGGGCTGTCTCCCGGCTCCTCCTCAGCTTGCGGGCTGTCTCCCGGCTCCTCCTCAGCTTGCGGGTTGGCTCCTTCTCATATTGTCAGGTCAAAGATTAGGAGAAGTCTAGGAGAAGCATCATTGCAATACTTTGGACAGGCACGGGATTGCGGTACCAGGGACCCGCACTAGCTATAGCATTGGCTGTCAGATTAGGACAATGCAGGGTCTGTTTACCCACCCCCCACTCACATTCTTTGCTGGAAGGTGATGGGGTGGGTAAAAAAACCCTGCACAGTCCCAATCTGACACTCTCAATCATGAGCATTGCAGTGGCATGGAG